GCGGTTTGTAAAATTAGAGATAAGGTAAATGGAGCTTTGCATGATAGGGGGAAAAATTTTTTTACTTGGGTGTATCCTTTCTTCTAGAGGTACTGAAACATGATGAACATGACTTAATAAGTGTGTGAGTGATGGTGACATTTTTACTTGTGTGTTAGGAATCTGTTTTTAATGAACATCATCTATTTTTTTGACTGTGAATGCCATCAATCCAATGATTAGGCTAGCTATACTGTTACAACTGGTAGCCTGCCACTATGCATGCAAATGAAGCCCTTTGATGAAAACCAGTGCTTTCAGACACAAACGAAAATGGCCACATTTAAAGCCCGTGGCAAAGTGTGGTCTGTCCGTAGACTTGCAGTGTTTATCATCAACGTATGGATTACAAAGGGTCATACTCGTCAAGTATGGCTGGGTGTGACCCAGTCTACATTTGTCGTCGTCCGATATTGCAACGTTCACACATGTATACATGTATGCACTGAGGCACACAATTTGTGTTATACATAATGTACAATGCACGTCCTAGGCATCTAATTGTTGCGTGAAAGTATTCAAAGTTTGCTAGGCCACCTTTTTCTTCTTTCTTGCTTTTTTCCGGACGTCAAAATTGACAAATGCAGGTGGTGATTTTAAATTTTTTTTTCCAAAATCTGATTTTTTTTCCAACAGCAATTCTGTAGTCCAAGTAACCCTGGACCAATTTTCTATTTTGAACAGAATCTTGAGTGTATAATTCATTTCAGTGACTTGAGTTCTCACTCTACACCGTGTTTCTACACAGTCAACGAGTTCCTATCACTAGTTAACTAGTGCTTGGCTCATGATGTACGTAGCTCACGTGCGGCAAAGTTGTGAATGACCGTAGTTGATCGTTGTCAGGTCATTAGGCCAAAGGGGAAGAAAAGGTGGCCGCAGGGAGGGAAAAATAGCAAAAATAAAAGTAAAAATAATCGTTTCCTAGTGACAAACTGTTTTTTCCAGTGTTTCTCTTATAACTGGTCCTCTCTGCACTCTGCTATTAAAAACGATTTATGGCAGCCAACAATGTGACCAACCTTGATAGGCTGGTCGTGAATAATTGACTAGGCTAGTCCAACCATAATTGAATAGCATGCATTTGCCCCATGTTGAATGTGTACCACCCCCCCCGGCCATACACCCTGTTGAAACAGTTCCAACCAGCCTCTTTCTTCTCTGCCGGTGAAGAGATCAGGGCCAAAATCAGAACAAGCTTATGCGAACACTCTTCCGATTGGGCATACCTTTAAAACCCCTTGCAAAACTTACTAGCCAAATTTGCATTCAATGGGCAGTAATCACTGGGTCAGCTATGTCAGCCATACATACGACACGTAATTATCTGCTTGTTTTGTTGACTTTGCTGTTGTTGATGCCCACGCTGCTTATCACTGAATTAAAAGAATCAAGAAGCTCAAGACTTACGTGGACCACATACTCAATCCTCATGATTCTGCAGCCTTGCGGGCCCGTGGGAGGGATGGAGGGTATCACGTGAGGCTTCCAGTCCATCCTTGCTACCTCCCCTGCTCCGCATCCGGGAGCCCTCTCCTTGATGATGTTGCATTCCCGCCTTGTTGTGTAACCCTCCCAGGAGACGTACGTCACCAGCTGGAAGAGACACACAAAAATACTGGAAACTCTACTTGTGAATGACTTCAACACGGATTTGGCTTGACCCTAACTCCTCTATGCACTTTGTCGGGAACCCCCCCTGAAACATCTGCAAAAGGGCCACTAAGGCCTCCTTCGTGCTTCAACCTTTCACAGGAATTATGAACTGTAATGGAAGTGCTCATGGTACGAGTGATCTTTGAGGTGGCAATGCACACTACATAGAAAATGACACAAAATCAGACCCCAAAAAAAGCCTGGCTCAGGAATCCTTGAAAGCAAAGTGCCAATGCGTTTTTCACTGTAAATGAAAACTGCAGCCTGCAAATGATAGCCCCATCAATTTTCTTTTATAATCCCCTCCCCCAGACCAACACTGATATAGTTTTGAATCTATGGTTCTAAATTAAGCAGCCTGCCTCTATGCAAATAGAACCCATGAACATTGTTTTTGTCTGTGAATCAAATCTCCAGACTTGGAAGCCACAATGCTTTATCTTCAGAAATATTTCTACAACTATAGTCGTCCAAATTATAGGGCCAGTTATTCAAAATTACCCTGTGGGATCACAAAAATATGAGTGAACTCGATAAGCAGGAATTCAGACGTCAAGCAGTTTGCACCTTATTGGTGGTCTGGGTGAAATCTAGTTGTGTAACTTACAGGGTGTGGGGGGATTTGAACTGAGTTATTTTAAATTTTGAAGTCTACACAATGTATGTATAAACCACAGTTACATGTCAGTGCCTACTTGAAAATATGGGGGCACACCCCAACCCCCTCAGAAATTTCAACCTAATTAAGCTGCTGATCATTTCCTTCACATACTGAACTCACCTGTTTCAGCCTGACAGTGAGGTGTAGGATCTCGCGGCTGCTGTTGTTCTCCACTGAGCCCGAGACATACATGGTCTCCCCTGGCACATAACCGGCCTTGTCAGTGGAGGCTTTGGTGATGATGGGACCAGTCTCACAGCACAGGCAGCAGACGCTCTTGGTGTCTTCCCTGCGTACAGGGTGCTAAATGCAACCAGCCAAAAGGAAAAAAAAGCACCTGAACTACAAAACTCAAGCAGTTTATAGTTGAAAGTAAGAATGGTTATGGAGGCAATGGGAGAGATGGGAGGATAGCAGAGAACAGGGGCTAATGCTACAAGGTTCTAAATACTGGTACTATGGTTTCAAGAGACAGTGACATATCCCTTTGAGGTGCCTCCGTTCTGATCTGGGACCAATTTAATAAGAGACACTTACAGGTAGCCCTAACATCATTTGTAGGAATAGCTAACTGGCAAAAAATGTCATGCACATGTACATGTAAATAAGGAGCTTGGGACACGCTCTCTGCTGACGTTTGCTCAGTGAATGATTTTGCTGAACAGAAATGTTTGATCATATCCTCCAAGAGTGGGTTACATACCTGTATGTAATTTATCACCCAATCACATGTATGTTTCAGGTGATGTGCTTGTAAATGTGGGCATACATGAGATTTTAGCCAGAGGTGTCTGGGCGTCTTTTGGACACTCAGTGGGCTGTTTTGATACCTTCTGCTATACAAATGCATGTAAAAGTATAAATAAAGCCTAGGCAGCTTTGATGCCCTGTTTATCACTTTGAGCCAAATGTGGACACCCCATTTTTAAAATCTTTAATGAGAGTAGTAGTGAGGGTAAATCATCAACAGATCATGAAGAAGATGTGAATCGTGTACCATGGCATTTGGCATGGTTGTGAGATCGATTGGCTGCCCTGTGACAGTGAACAACCTCTCCGTGTGATGGTTGAACTTCCAGGGCCGATCGATCTTGCACTCCACTTTGTAGCGGATCCAGCCCACGCTCGACTCAAACGAGAATGGCAGCGGAATGTTGGGGATCTTGAAGGAGAATGGAAAGCGATGCTCTCCGGCCTCCAAGCAACGCCTGGTCTTGTCATCTGCAAGCAGCAGGCGTGAGAGTGTAAGCTTTGGTTGTACTTGGGTGCATCTCAGTCGTATTAAACCTAATCTGGCCCTCTCGGGTCTTACAAAATGAACCACTTGTTTTTTTGCAGATTTCACAGGACTGGAAAAGATAGAGAACCCTGTCATGATTCCTTTCTGTAGGCCTCAAAGTTCCTTGGATGTCTGAGTGCAAAAAGTGTGTCACTGGTGACTTTAACTCAGGTAATTCTCTTCAACAAAACTTACGGAACTTACCAGTAACGGAAGTTTAATATTTGCTTTTATGACGAACTTTTCAATTACTTGTGATTTCACTACCAACAGGGTCTTGGATTAGCATACTTTTCAATATAAGTACAAAATTTCATACCACAGTATTGTGTGAAAGTTCCTGGTGTTGCACAGGGCAGTATAACGTACAACACTAGTATACTTTCTGATTTAGCTCTTTGATTGTTATAAAGCATGTAAAAAAACACAAAGCTTCGGAATTGAAACTTAATTCTGAATAAAAAGAAGCCAGATACTAGTAATTACATTAACCACTTGCTGATGGTATCGCATGTACTTTTTTGCTGGAAATTAAAGTTTTCATAAAAAGCAAGATGTGGTTACCACCTTCTGTTAAACATGTACACTGTACAGTCAAATGCCAGAAATTTGTAAGAATCGTTTTTGGGATAATGTTATGATCTCCTTCAATGTAAAAACCTTTGCGACACCTGTTGGGGTTAGGTGTATTGGAAAATGCATTTTTTAACATTCAAAAGTGTCCCTGCTTCTCTGGACAATAAAGGGGCCTGTTGGTGTGATGTCATTCAAGTAGACACACAGACATATAAACCCATGGACGGGCAGCTCCTATTCAAAGCAATAGCGGGGTACCGTAGCTGAGATGGCACCCAACTAAATCCAAAAGCATGGGCAAATTCATCCCTTGGTATAGAGAATTTACCCACAGTTGAAGAATTCCAGCCATTAAATTCTATGAAGCCATTTTTAATATTAAAAAAAATCGTTTTTTTACCTGATCTGGCCCATGCAAATTCAAAACAATGTGGTTGTAACATTTGAAAAGAAAAGAAAAAACTTTATGTTCAGAGCAATCTAAGTGCGTCACGCACAATTCAAACTGAACGCGCTGACATTCATCGTTTCACCCACTGCTTGCCCACGCTTTTTAAAATCACAGTTATACGCGCAAGACTGGCGATCTATGCATTTATACATCTGTGGGTAGACAGGGTAAAGTTTTTAGGTTTTTCTGTATAAATTGTGAATCTGAAATTTGCTAATTAAAAACATTTCTAGAAGGGCTGCTCCTTGGCTTACTGCTGCATGTACTTACTAATCAAGGAATCAAAGGGAAATTTACAACGGCAAATTACTGAAAATTCCATCAATCGATGCAAAATTGATGTTTTCTGTGCAGCGATGGCAACATAACTTTGCTCCTGAATTTGGAAAAACCAAAATATAAAAGCCAAGGAGGCACCACCAAAACTCCTTTTAAAATAGCACAATAAGAATTGGCAACACGATTAACTGTTTGGCACAAAGGCGCATGGCACAGATCCTTTAAACAAGAACGTAATTTTATTTCTTTATTCCTGCAAAGCCTACCTTTCTCCCAACAGACACGTTTCTCATTGAAGTATATCTCACTGGCTGTGTAACTCTCCTTATCTTCCCCAGATCCCTCCGTCCAGCAAGTGTGAGCCTTTCCCTTGAACTTGACTTTGATGGCTGTGGATGTTAAAGGAGCTGGACATTAAAAAAAAAAATTTTCCCGGAAAAGGACGTACATGTATGTATGCAACTGTTTTATTTTAATGAAATATAAAGATTTCTTTTCAGTTTTTAAAAACTTCCCAAGTCATTTAATACGTTGTTCAAAGGTTGCTTCTGTATAGCCTGTGTTGATTTTGTTGTAAATTTTATCCCTTTTTACTAAATAAAGAGAGTGTGGTTCTTACGCCCTTTTGCCAGGAACACTTTTTTCTGCCGAGATCATGCTTCAGGGCAACAGGGTGTAAGCACACTTACAACCTTTTGCCGGGCAAATGACAAAGTAGACTGCACAGACCTGTATGTATCACTGTTAATTACCGACAAGCTCTTTTGAGACACTTCACATATCATGTCTGAGGTAATATGGGCATGCTCAAAACAACAAAAACCATCTGAAAAGGATCAAGTTTTACTGGTTTCCCACCTTGTTTGAAATGCGTTCACTAAGCTTTTAAAATATGGCCGCCAAATTAAAATTTTGGATGTCTAAATATATACAATTACAAATTCTTGGTATTTTATGTACACCACAATGCCTCAATGAAAAAAAGATGGCTGCAAATGACTACATTGTCACTGATACTGCTCTATCTAATCAAATTCTACAAGAACCCTAGAAGAATGTACATGTACCAATCAGTACATGGAACAACAAACTTGCTTTCCTTGAAGCTGGTGTCATCTGGGTCTTCCAATTTCCCCTTGAGGATTTTGTACAAGTGGGGTTTTTCCCCCCAAAGACCAGGAGTGTCAAAAAATAACCTACATGTAAATCCGTTTTTGCCTTGTGCCTAGTGAAAGAGAATTAAGAGTAGTTTTCCCACAATTTAATGCAAAACAAACTAGCCAAGTTGTAATAAAAAAAGTTACTGTTTTATTGCGTTTAAATTAGCATTTTCATTTTATTCTGTTTGATCCACTGATACTGTAACAAATTTTGTTTTGTGTTTTTCACTGTAACTATGAAGAAGAAGAAGAAAAGTTATACTCTCTAAGTGTTATGCTACATTACACAGGGAAAGGCATTTTAAAGTTTTTTAAATTACCAAAAACTGTATGATTTGAGGTCATGCAACATGCAAGGTAGTTTGTGATATGTCAACAATAAAATGCTATAAACTACACAGAAATTGCATGTTTCACAAAGTACTGGCTTCTTTCAGAAATAAATGAGATAATTTTGAGTTGTGTTCCGAATACAGAAGCTGTTTCCTTGAGTAATTCTCTTCATCGTCTGTCACTTACTTATGTGTGTGCCTGCGCATTTTTATTACACGTAGTTGACTGCTTTTTCTGATGGTGAAACCTTCCTGGTGAGCCTGGACTGCCTCAACCTGTCCCCTCTACCCTTCGATCCCACATAATTAGGAAAGTTGTTTGATACTTTGGACTTTCCCCCTCCCTCGCTTGTCCCCGCCCTTCCCCCATCTACTGACTGTGACTGAGACTAGTACAGACAGCATGCAGGCAAGACAGCCGTATTATACGGTGGGTATATACACCAGGTTCTCATCATTCTCTGACTCAACGGGCCCCCCCTCACCTAGTGTTATGTTATAAATGTGCAAACTGAAGTTATTATTTTTTTTATAGTATGGCCTATAGAATACACCACTGATCATCGTGACCATGATCTAAATTGCTGCAAACCTTTGATATCATCTTTCGGAGCAATTAGAACGACTCGGATGTAGCCATTTAAGACGTCTCCAGAGCTGAAGACATCCACATTGTCTCCGTCGAACACCACCTCAAATGCTGTCAATCTGCCCATGTTAATTGGGCCTACAAATGCAGGGGTGATGGCTTCCAAATGCCACGCATAATCATGAGGCTTACATCAAAAATATTCCTGCTCATCTGCTGGTGCAGCGAGCTCTGCATGCAGAGCGCGAGCGAATCCAGTCGACTTAACTTCCGGGTGCCCTCTGCCACCTTGTGAGAGCACATGACTAGTCTGTTTACGTTTGGTTTCACTTCGTAACAAATGCACTCATGGCGCAAAATTTGCCAGAAATAGCGCCCTCTGGTGGCACTGAGGAACTGAGAGAGGGTAGAGATCATCATAATCTCCCTGGGACTTCGACCGCAGTAGAACAAAGATACAGATGGGACAGTCTCGGGTGCTTCACTGGAATAGGCCAATTAAAACTAATTCCTTGTTTATCATCACCGCCCGACCGGATTTCCCCTCCCACCCCGACTTTTTTGATATTTGACATTTCCATTTTTTAACTAACCTTTTCAACCTTGCAGCTGTGTCCGCACCACAGAAATGTTTTTTTTTAATTTAAATTCTCTAGTCTTGCCCTCAACCATGACCAATTGAGGCGGGCCGTGTACGGTCGATCGCACGATGTTCACGTTTCAATGTACACTGTACATGTACATATATGTATGTACATTCGTTTCAAACCCACCAAAGCTGGTCAAGAATAAAGGACATAACTTCTGCAGATACTGAAACATCAAGCAGACTGGGCTCATTTATTTAATCAGATACCAATCTGATCATGCTGCTATGATATATGGAACACTGTACAAGAAACGTTTTTAGTCTATCTGAAAAGTCTGAAAAAAAAAACTGACTTGAAATATCAAATATCAAAGGTCCTCCCGGCCAAAGAATATAAGTTTGAGTGATGATTAACAAGGAAATAATTTTAATGGGCCCTATCACTGCGATGATAATTTCATTTTCAATTTCAAAAGGATTTCCGGCGAAAAGCCTTTTATCATCCTCTCTTCCCAGTGGCGTAGTCGACAGGGGGGTGTGCATCCCATAAATTCCTGGCCAAAACAAAAACCAAAACCAAACCAAACCATATCACCTTTTCTTCCCCCAACCAACATGCAGTTCCAGTAATAAAGCAGCGAGGCAAAAAACCAAACCAAACCAAAAAAACAAAAACAAAAATGGTTTGCGAAAACAGTGACTCCGACACACCATAGAAAACTGGTGCCCCCTCCCACCAGATGCCAATACCCCTAGATGCCCCCCCCCCGTGAAATCCTAGCTACGCCACATGCACAAGCTTCCCCCATACACTGTACATGATGTCCCAAACTTCGCGCTTTGGTCCAAATGTAGCTCTCCGCTTCCATGCAAAGTAGGCCCACAGGTTGGAAGTTTTGTGAAGGAATTGCCCTGAGTTGGAAGCCATGAGTCAAACATTTTTTTTATTTATAGAAAACGGTCTATAGGCCCTTGTCGTTCCTTATAATGGGGCGTCTTGTTTCTGCAGATAACCCACTAAAATTGCAAAACATAAGGTCTTGCGTAGGAATCTATGGCGATTTAGTGGAATCGTCAGGTAGAACGGAGAGGGTCACTGTGACCGAGGGAGATTGTGCGGGTAAAGTTGAGGGTAAAATAGGTTGCCGAGTTCTTTTCCAAGGTCACCGTTAAGCAAACCTGAGGGAGACTCGGTACGAAGAGTCGGCCGCAGTTTTGAAAACCCGATATCTTGAATCAGAGTAGTTTGTTCGTTCGTTCGTTATCCAGCGCCCGAACAGGGCAACGTGCACTGCACTGACGGTTCGGGCAAGTCAGATGTATTTCGGTACAGGTACGTACAAGATTACATGGACAGTTTCCGGTAATACATAGCTGTGCCAAAATCGCGATTTGGCGGAAATTTTAGGGGCGAAATCAGAATGGCGGAAACGGAGTGAAAAAGCGGAAAATTTCCGCCCAAAGCGGGAGAGTTGGGAGGTCTGCACAATGTAGCCAATCACAGTGCAAAGCCATCACCCCTTCCAAGCGCCGGCACTGTACGGGTGCTGGGCGACGAGGGAAAGCACCCCAAAGACGATTGTGGAGCTAGTGCGAAGTATAGACTGCACTCTGCGTAGAGCGAATTGATGGCAGCGGAGTGCAGATTATTTAGTTGTTTTAAAACGTTGTCAGGTCCGCTAAATTAAAACCCAATTGCGCGAATATGTTTAACTGCTGAGAACTGAAGGGAAGAGTATTAACCCAGTTGCCTATAATCTTGCCGGTGATTCCTATTATCCCGTGAATATTAACTGGGTCATTCGACCGAATCACTCAATTTCACTCGACTGGATATTTCTGCCAAAGTTTCCCCAAACGTTAGTTCAGTGCTCGTCAAACTCTGGGGCCAAGGCAGCATTTAGATTGGTGACTTTCCCCATCGTCTGTTTTATCTCAGGGCCTAGGCTGAGAAAACCTAGACTCTCTCATTGGGAATTGGGAAACGCCACGTCAGTTAATCAAACACGGGGGAACTCGGCTTGGGTCGACGAGGGCTTGAGTGGCCTGGGTACGACACAAGTTTTCTTTTGCGAGCTGAAAACAAAAAATAAAATAGTAATAATAAATAGCTTAATTCAGTTACAATCCCCATTCGCTAAGAAGCATTATGCTCAGCTAAACAGACAAGTTGTCACAATGCCCGGAGGAATGAAATGCTTCCAGTCCATGCAAAATGACCACGACTAACAAATATGTTATGCCTCAATGCACAAAAGTAAATTACACTAATTTGGACTTGATGTCGGTTTATAATTTCCTTTAATGATCGTTCATATTCTCGGCAGCATCTCCTGTACTGTTAACAGTTATTTTTACCATTTATTAAGAATGAAATATTTAGCAACTTTAATTAACTCTTCAAAAGAAGGGCACAGAGGAAAAGCAATAAACTAATCCAGAAACTTAAGAGATGAATAACATAAATTTAACAATTACATGTACATGTATTCCAACTTTCTCGTTAATTAACGTGCGAATGATTCATGTTTAGCAGAGTTGGCAATACAAAATAGACAAAAACATTCTGGAAGATCCGAAAGTCCACTAGTGCAATGAAGTATACATTTTCAGAAAGTGAAATGTATCTTTCTTCAAATTCGCTTTTCTGAGACATTTTCCCCAGTTTATTTGGACAAGATACTTATTTTGATTTTGCGAGATATACTACTTTGAAGTTAGTTTTACAAGAAATGAATTCAGAAATGTTCTGTTACGAGATCTGCTTTTTGAAAAAACCAAACATTTCTACCAGCACACGTTTGTATTTTTTTCAAGTTCGTACATACATGTACACCAATGATTATAGTCTAGAGTGTATGGGTCATGGTGCAGTATAGGACTTGGCCCATCACTGCAATTAACAATGAAAGTGCGCCACAACAGCAACACCTTATAAGAACTAGCCATTGGTGGGTAAATATACTAGCAGACATAATTAACTCGAACAGCAGATAAATGGAGGAACCACTTGATACGTAATTTAGAAAAAAGGCAACTGTTCAGTTTGAATCATCGTATTATATTTCATGTCTACCATTTCTAAAACATATATTCTCTCACAAACTACAACCTCAACATCGGCGCAGCAAGGATCTTCTCGGGGAAGGGGGAAAAGTTCCCACATGGGGGGCAGTTACATCCCCCACCCCTCTTGGTTATGCCACTTAGCCTCAGCACAAGGAGCCAGTTCAGAATTTCATCAAGGTAAGGTCCTTCAAGAACAAAGCATTGGAGCCATCGGGAGTGTCCAGTGAATTTAAGTAAATTCATCTATATTTAAGGTCATTCTGTCAGCAAACAGTCTGCGGCACTTTTACATACAATATCTAAAACCAAACATCAAAAGTAATAAAGTATAAAACCTTAACCCATCAATACAACCCTTAAAAGTACACCAAACATATGTGTATATATATAAAAAAAACTTGAAATACACATACAATTCAGCTCCTATATAAATCAGCAGCATTTAAGGCAAAGAGTACATGTATAGAGTCTAATAAATGTAAAGTGCAATGGAATGAAAGTTTAAAAAATAAAATATTGCTACCTACAGCTCAATAAAAAAAAAACCCTCAGTCAAAACTGCGCGCCAATAATAAATGTTTCAACTCTGGTACTGTTACATATCTTGTGGACAACTCGACGAAGAATAACTGAGAAAGGGCTTGTAATTTTTTGTAAGTTTCTGCATACAGAGCCCTTCATATCTTACATAAATTGTTACAACTGAAATTAAGGTGCTCTCATTCACATTTTGCGGCAAGACATAGAGATGAATGATAATTCATCCCAATCATCATGCAGGATAATTTATTTAATAAAGTACACATATACAATTAATCAAAGCTTTCATTTGATATGTTCGGTGAATATATTTCTTAGTCACATGGATATTTGCCTTGATACCGGTAATTTCCACACGATGTCTTTATTAAGACTTGTACAATTTTAATAGCAATACAAATGACAGGTACATTTTAGTGAAAAGCACTTATCATCCTAATTATGTATATAAAACATTTACACGTGTATATAGGTTCCTTTGATGTTGGACTAAGGTCTCATGCAATATAAACATTATATCAATTACTGAATTTTATGTTTATAATAAATTTCGTTTACATGAGCCACCCGGTGTTTGCCTGAGTAATCAAGCAGACAAATTCTATCCACTTGTAAGTCAGAGATACTTGTGGAATCCTTAAAGTAGTGGGAAGGAGCGATTACTCAACATTCACAAATAGTGAAAATGACGTAGCTATCCCAAAATCCTTTGTATTTCTGTGGAGGATTCTGTACAGACTACTGATCCATTTGTACCCATACTGCTATTACTGGAGAAAACGAACGTGAACGCACAGCCACCTTAAACAGCTTGTATCACGTTCACTGGAGGTCAAGGCCGTTTTCCAATACTCAACTTTGTCTCCGTCTCAGGCTTCGTCCCCGAAACCAATCAATGATTGTAGGCCTGAAGCGTTTAAATCAAATTGCATTACTGCAAGTTTTTGCTCTCTTGCATCTTATTTGATGTTCTGTGGCACTATTAGACTAATTACTGTGCTTACAGCTTCAAAGTCAGCTAGTAAAAAACGTAGTTGAAGCCTGAGACGGAGCCGAAGTTGAGTATTGGAAAACGGCCCAAAGGTACGAGTTGAGAGGTAAAATCAATGTCAAGTCTCCCACAAACCACTGGACATAACAACTCGGGGTGACTGTGGTGAAAGGCAAAAGATATAATTACAAAAGCCTTAGAGTCAGTTTAAATGTTTATTTCATAAAAAAAAGATGCCCTGACTTGCATATATGCACACTTCACAAAAACCTGAAAATGTTTACTGGGACACATACTGTCATAAAATTAAATTTTGTTTCTCATACACTTTTGGGAAGTTTTCTGTTCCCTTAGATTTCAAGGTTTAGAATCATAAAAAGGCAATAAAATCAGCTGAGTTGTTATGTATTACATATTACCAGTTCAGTTTATCTCCTTACTCCCATCCATGCACACATTTCCTCCCAGAACAAACCTCAATCTTCTTCCAATTTTTTTTTAAATCTTTTTTTTGGTCACTTGTACGACCAAATTTCATAGACCTGCTCAACAGAGAAACCATGCTTTGCAAATTTGTGCCCTGAGCAATAATTAGCAACATTAAAGCATGCTTTGACTTTTTTTGGCAAAGCCAATGTTTTCCATGCTTAGCAAATCAGCGTGCTTACAAGCTTGTTGAATTTGGTTCTTTATTTCCTCTTTTTTCACTTACATAAGATACGGCAGTACATTTGTATAAATGTACTCCAATTATTGGATTTTATCTATGCCATAAAGTACCTGTGTATGTTTTACTCCTTTGTGAGGGAAATTTGTGACTTGTGACCAGAGGGTCAGAGGTTGACTCCACCTGCTGATGATAAGTTATGACCTTGGGCAAGCCACTTTACCCAAACTTACTTCTCTCCACCCTGAAGAATGGATAGGTACCAATATTAGCTGGGGGTGTAACCTCTGATGGACTGGCATTACAAATTCCAATCCGGAGGAAATAGAAATATTTTAATTAATTTCATACCAAGGCACTGGAGACCGAGGCAGTGATTTTAACTACGATCTTGCAGCATTAATAACGGTACATGCCTGGCACTTCAGGGCATCTTCCTGACATATCTATCACCAAATCGACCTGCAATGTTTGCAAAATGGACATTGTGCAGGCTTAAATTTTGTTGAGATAAAGGTGCTAGTATACGCACAAGCACGTGTATTGCATAAACGAAAACACCCATGTAATCGTTGGAAACTGTACGTATCGAAAAGAACTGTGACGAAACAGGGGTAGGCATGGATGTCAGTCTAAGTCATTAATTATTAATGCATGCGTTGACCAATCATGGGTGCGTAGAGCGCTAGGTCAGGGTGCTTGCAGCGTGCTAAGGGCGCGCGCTGTTAGTTTTGCTGCTGGGTCGCAGAGTGGCAAGATCGCATAGAACGCTATATACCGTTCTGTGCTGTGTACTATGCGAGGTAGCATGGACGCTGCACCAGAGAGCGCTGCGTCATATCGACCGGTAGGTGGAGTAGTACACGTTGTAGTGAACTGTTCATTGGGTCTTGGTTAGAGTGGGAACAGTCTAGAGCGTAAGGTGTTAGCCCTTGGCTGAGAGCTAGTGGTACGGTGATTTGTTGTGGATTGCTTGCTGTCTGTGAACACCGTAGGTGGGGTGACGGCTGGGTTGTCTTGAGGGTTACTGGGAGCGCTCTGGTTCCTGTAAGGGTTATTATCCCTTTGATTAATCGACCCTGGGTAATGAGGGTTGTTATCCCTTGTTTGATTAACACTCCACGTAGATTATCACTGCTTGCTAGTGGTGTGTATCGTGGGCAATAGTCTGGCTTATGTTAGAGTTGCCAACTTGCCATGTGATTAGGTTTACCACGTGAGACTTATTGAATTGCCATGTGAGGTGTATTGTATAAATAAACCTTGTGTCTGATATGCACCGTTGATTTATATTTGTAATAAACGTATTGCACTAATTAATTATCCTTGGAAATCCTATGTCACTGTGAGGTTGATTAACCCTAACAGTCCTCAATCCTTCACCTGTTGGAGGACTGAGGATTGTTAGGGTTAAGGTTTGCATGCATTTCCTTGTTCTAATACCAGTTTTGATGTTTGTCTTTCTTAAGTGGTGGTAGATTTCCACCAAACAAACTGCTCCTAGGCTTAGTCCACCGTTCGTTAGCTGATATCCCCCCTTGTGTCAGGGTAGCCGCTCATCCTTGCGCAAGGTTAATAAATATATTTGTGGAGTCAGGACGGTCTGCTGGGTCCGCCAACGGAGGTGTCAGTTGTTCCGCCATAGAACCGTTTGTTCATTCACTTTTTTTGTGAGTGTGACAATCTTATTACATGTGTTCTGTTCCCATCATTTTCACGAGGCACTGGCCTTGTAGTCCTTTTATTCTACCCCTGTGATAGTTCCTCTTTGTTCCTTGGATATTGTACTGGCCCATTCCCTGAGACTGGGCTACAAGTGTTTCCTGATTGATGAACTTGTAAAGTTGGCAGAGATCGTAAGTGGGGAGTGGGTATTTGAACCCACTCAACCTCCAAACAGCACGTGCCTGTTATAGATATTCATTATTGCATTACTCACACCTGGATTTTTTTTTCTGTACTAAATCTTTGAAATATCAAGTCATTTTATTAGCATGCTCCCCAGACTTTTCACTGGTCTACTTTCTATTTCTAATTGCAAGAAATGCACATTATCCACAACAATGGCAAGAAAGTGTATGAGGAAAGATAAAAGCATAATACTACGAAAGTTAAGAACTGCAAATCCTCAGGTTGGTGAAAGGAAATCCTAAATGAACCGTCAAACCTTGCTCACCATTTGTATAAATATTGCTGCAAAACAAAAAGCAACCAAATCCTCCTTGTCATATGGACCAGAAGTAATGTCACAATAGGTAAACATTAATTCAAATCTTGATTTAATGGCTAAAATATTTGAGAAGAATATAACGGCAAACCGTAATTTAATTGAAAACTAGAAAAGTTTGCTACACGTTATAATATGCAACATCTATTCAGTCAAGTTGATAAGTATGCAATGGGCAGGCAGTTGCACCAGTGAAGAGTTGATAAATTGCCACATGGGCAGAATGCAATATTTCTCATACCTGATCTGACCGTCTATTTGCCTGTGCCTAGAAAAAACTCTGAAGAATGACAGGCATGAACGAAATTACCCTTACTAGCAATCAAGGAACAAAATATTGGTTTCACTGGTACAAGAACTCACCATTTAAGAGATTTCAATTTTTTCCAGCTCAATGACCTCCGTTCCTTCTGCTGGAGGCTTCTCATCTGTGCTTCCTTCACCCCCACCACCTGCAGCTGCTGTGTGATCTTCACTACCAACAGGTGGTGGCTGGCCTTCGTCACCTGCACCTGCGGGTGGTGGGTAGCCTTCACCATCTGCAGGTGGTGGATAGCCTTGCGTACCTGCAGGTGGTGGGTAGCCAGCATCACCCTCAGGAGGTGGGTAGCCAGTGCCACCTGCAGGTGGTGGATAGGTTTGAGGAGCAGAAGGTGGTGGGTATCCCTCTGGAACTCCGGGTGGTGGGTAGCCAGCACCAAAAGCAGGTGGGTAGGTCGGGTCACTGGGGGGTGGATAGCCCCCAGGTGGGTAGGTCGGGTCCTGCACTGGTGGTGGGTGCATGGGATCCCAGGCTGGCGGTTGCGCCGGCAGGTTGTATGTTGGGTACTGGGGGGCGTACATCAGCTTCCCAAAGGTGTAGTCATAGCCACTCTTGCTGGGTACCTCCTGGAGTCCCTCTAAGGCTATCTCATAACTTGGAGGTGGTGGTCCTAGAATAAAGACAAATTATTTTTGTAAGAAACTCCTTACGATGAACAGGACCAATGCATAATAAAATGTACCGTGAAAGTCTGTCCTACAGAATTTGTTCTGCTCCATGGGTGAGCATTGATAACTAAAGGACTCTTTACCAGCAACTATTACTTTGGCATTTTGCAGACATCCACCACAATCTGGACGAGTCAACAAACTCAAGAAACTTTGGAATGATGGTGGTATCTCGTGTAGAGAAAAGAATGCAAAATTGCACAGATTTGATCCTGAAAGTGGAGACGAGGTGTTGCAGTGACTGCCATGCTTGGGGTTGGCTATGTTGACTTTTCCCACAATGCCATGCACATTTGCTGATTGAGAAGCCTCTGGCTACAGGTTAACAGGACTCTGAACCTTCCTATGGGAATGTGTGATTTTGGTCACTTAACTGCCACAGTGTTGTATTTGAGTCCATCATGAGTCCTTTCACAACTCTTTTCACAAGTCCAGTCACAAGTCCCTTCACAAGGCCAGTCACAAGTCCCTTCACAAGGCCAGTCATCAGTAACAGGGTGAACAAAGACAAAAGAATGCTTTTGTTGCAGTTCACTAGAATAGCTTGTGAATTGGCTTGAGACAGAATGACTTGTGATGGACTCGAATACAACACTGTTCAACTCTACAACTGGACTAGTCGAAACAACAAACTGCCAATATTTGAACACATGTAGGACGTGCAAGCGGTATCACATAAACGCTCAACAGGTACAATTATTTTGCAAGGAACTTCGCAGCATTCACCTATACCATCGTCTTGTATCCATTCCACAGACCATGGCAGTGACATGTACTTCTTATGAAAGGAATTGGTCTTTCTTTTCGTTATTGTACGACAGGAGCTAACACTCTTTAGAGTGCGAATGTTACTTTTACGTAACGCATAGCCTATTTAGGTGAAGCATTATCCATTTGTAATTCATTCTCGGTTATGTAGCTTAACCTCGCACCACCACACTGGTATGTCTGCCAAGCTCTGCATCATGAACGTCGAGCAAGCTTCAAACCAGGACATTCTATTGACTATTCAAACACTGTCTTCTTCTATCCACTCTGCAGTCGAATCAGCAGCATGCTTTACGGGTCAGATAATCTCAATGTCCCTAGCCTTAGGGCCGGCCGCAGGATTAATGACACGACATTCATATGAAGCTATCGACTCCAGGTCTAGCTGGCAGGATACAATCTCTTTAGATGAAAATATTTTCGCAGAGTTAGAGTTTTGGCAGAGCAGCATTAACAAGCTCAACGGCTTCACAATACAATTTAGGCTTGCCCTGTCCCTGACGGTCTACTCGGACACTAGTAGTTACGCTTACGGAGCTTATGCAGAAAATTATTCCAATCTCAAATTTCACGGCAATTGGAACGAAGCAGAGCAGTGCAAAAGCTCAACATGGCGAGAGGTAGCCACGGTCCATCACGTTCTCTGCGATTTATTACCCTTGGTCCCAGACAGGGTAATTAGATGGCATACGGACAATTCCAACGTCCCCAAGATCATCACTTGCGGTAGCAATAATTCCGAGCTACAGGCACTTTCATTGGCTATATTCAATTCAACCAGCGAGCTCGGCTGTATTTTACTACCAGAATGGCTTCCACGGAACAAGAACAAGTTGGCTGATAGCATAAGCAATTTCAGAGATTTGACGATTGGCCAATCGACAATGAAGCTTTGGCCAACAAAGTATTGGGACTGCTCATAGTCCCACATTGGCCCACAGCCGCTTTCTGGCCTTTACTTTGCCCGGATGGTATTAAGTTCGATACCAGAACTACAGATTGGAAGCTGAAATTTGTCTCATTTAACCCACCTTCTTGGGGATCTCAGTCAGTTTTTCAACGAACTGCATCTCTTTCCTGCTTGTTTTTGAGATTTGATTTTTACAAGATTAAATTCCCATGATTACAACAAAAAAAAAAACCAGAAAAGAAAAAAGAACATTTTTGGAGGAGTCTGTTGGTAGATGAGTAGCACGTTTATGCGCTTTGGCTTTTACAGCCAGGGCTGATTTGTAGCCCGAGACCGGTTGTCCATAACCATTCATGAGTGCATGCATTTTTTAGGGGACAGTTTTTAGGTACATGTACATTTTCCCTTTCTTTGGCGTTCTTGTAATTATGTGCAAGGAAGTTAGCTCAGCTTCACCAATCGTGCTCAAATCGCGTCTAATTTGCGTTTATTTTTGTTTTCATTAAGATTTTATATTTGCTTTGTGCACATGAGGAAGATTCAGAAAAGATCAGTATTTTCTTGCGGAAGTATGGAGGAAGAAAGTTAAGGACCTAATATTGCATGTCTCCCAATTCCAGTTGTGTCTGTTTGCTGTCAGCACGTCACAAAATCTTCTCACATACACAAAGGAAATTCCTCTGGAGTTCTGGAAGCTACCCACACATTGCATCATGGTAATTGTGGGGACTCACACCACTGTGGGGGCCATTGAAAGCGTCTTCCCAAATTCCGGAGCAACAGAAATCTTTCTCATGAGGTGCCAGCCAGGACACTGAAGTAAGCCGACAGCTGATGTTTTGTTGGGGCACCGTCACCTAATCATTATGGCGCTGTAAAACATGGAATATATTGAAGGCTCAAGAAAAAATACAGAGGATTTCCTTGTGGCAAAAGATCAGAGGGTGTTGTGGAGGGTGAAAGTGAACCTACCACTGCTGGTGGGTTGCTGGACGATCACACCTGAAGGGTCCTGGTAGGGAGGCCGATAGACTGGAACTGTCCCTATGGTGATGGGTAGGTACACGTTAGCATCAAAGGGTGTGTTCTCCACGTCACCTTCAAACTGCGGGCAAAAACAGCGAGACATTTAAACCGGTACAACTATCAGAGAGGCAATGAATGGAGTACGTCCTTGTCAAGGTACGTAAAGTATGCATGGCGTGAGTGGATGCTGAGAAAGTGGGATACAAGATTGGTCCTGTGTCCCTTCATCGTATCTGCTCTGTGCATGAACAGGGGATGGCAATTACTTCACAGCTTTTACACAAAAACGGAGTCCCTATCCGCTCCAAGCAAGATCAACAGAGGGTGCAATTTTGCTTGTAATGGAGGCTCCTTCGGTGGGAACTGCACTTCGCTGGTTAATAAATGTCTCTGAAATGCACGGAATATGGAACGCTCCCCACCAACCAAGCCTCTTTTCAACCAATGGGGGGGGGGTTGCTTCTGCTCAAGGGAAATACTGGAGACATGCGCAAGTGCAGGTTTACGTGTGCTTGGGTGTAGGTAGGTTGAGCTGAGCATCGCAAACCAAGTTCTGTTACAAGTTCTTAGCAAGTGCATCGGTTACGTAATTTCCACTGCCCCCGCCAGGTGCTTTTCTTCTGTGCCAGTGAAGTGATACTTCTACACAGTGCTGATATCAGAACAAGCTGATGTGAGCCCTGTTCATTTTTGGCACGCTTGTGAAACCCGCTTCCAAACAGTTACTAACCAAATTTGAACTCAATGGGTTGATCATGGGTCTGCTACATCAGCTACATGAGATGGGTAATAGACTGATTGTGATCGCTAAGTCACATGACCCATAGTGGGGATCAAACATCAGTAAACATGGGTGTCCCCCATTACAAAGGGTGTTATAAGTGTCACTTACCACATATAAAGCTGACGGTCAGTGCAGCCACTCAGATTACTGATGTGCTGAGCACTGGACCAAAAATCGGTGTTATTATGGGTAAACGACACTTATGACACACTTTGCTATGGAAGGATGCCATGTTTGTTGATGTTTGACACCCACTATAGGTCATGTGACTCAGCTGGTGCAATTTGTCTATTATCTGCTTGTTGTTTGTCTGTTTGTTGGTACTGGACTTTATTAGGGCTTGCCCGTGCTGCTTGTCCATGGTTTAAGGGATCAAGAAGCTCAAGACTTACGTGGACCACATACTCAATCCTCATGATTCTGCAGCCTTGCGGGCCCGTGGGCGGGATGGAGGGTATCACATGAGGCTTCCAGTCCATCCTTGCTACCTCCCCCTCTTCGCATCCGGGAGCTCTCTCGTTGATGACGTTGTATTCACGTCTAGTTGAGTGACCTCCGGAAGAGAAGTATCTCACCCACTGGAGACCAAACAAAACAATACAGGAACGCTACATGTAAATGACTTCATCTTGGACTTTGGCTTGACCCAAATTCCTCTGAGCTCTTTTTTGAGGGGGAATGTCTTAAAGCATCAGTGAAAAGAACTGATAATGCGTCCTTCATACTTTACCCTTCAAGAGGAATACGCACTGTAATGAAAGTGCTCATGGCCTGAGAGGGCTTGGAGGTCGCACTATACTTTGCCAAAGTATGTGCTGATGACTCTTCTTTCAACACAAGTGATAAGTACATTAACCCTCCTATGCTGAAGTCACTCTTTGGGTCACTTGGTAAACACCTCAAAGAAGCACAGCTGTGTTGTGTTGTGCACTGCACCAACATGCAAGAGAGTGACCTTGGGCACTTGTGCATATTTGTGCTGTAAAACCAAGGGAGGATTAAAATGCGTTTCTTCCTCCAGTCAGATGCATGAAGTCTCTGAATGGATTTTGCACAATCAGATGCTCTCAGTTTGGAACAAAGCTGAAAGCATTTTGATTGGAAAACGTAAAAAAATTCTGAATGCTATTAAACGGCCCATTAAAAGGTGTTTTCGTAGCTATTATTAAAATTTGTATATTTTTAAACAACATCCACGATTTAAAAGTTGTTGATTGGAAAAAACAGCACAGATCCGGAAACAGCCCTGCCCACAAGAGGTATCCCATTTACACAGAAAATTTATATACATGTATCTGTGACGTACATTTGAGAAGATGTTGCCTTGTGCCGCTAACGCGTCAATGCTTGTCTTGGGTCGAGTTTGGAAATTTCAGTCCAATTTTTGGGTGTTTGAGATATTATGCTGACCAGATGTGTTGCAAGAGGGCTGTGGGGGACACCTTTACACAACTTTCAAACTGAAGCAACATTTAGACCAATTTGGACATCGAAAGTCAGGCTGACCTGTACTTGTACGTAAACATGTACAGGCACATGTGTGTATTTTATGTTTGAACATTCCATGAGCATGTACACTGTGCGTGTCCCGTGTCCAAGTTCCAGACGTACCTACTGGGTGCCTGACTATAATTGTTGAGCACCAATGTGTTAAAATTTAGGTGCACATTACCGGCAATTCACAATAGTGCGCCTCCAAGAGTTTGCTATGTGTTGGCCAATCACAAAGCGTGAATTTTTCGACCCAACGCGCGTTTGGCAAGGGTCGACAGACAATTTTTTCTTCTTTTTATGTTCATGGTAAGCCTTCACCATAAAGATTCACTGTTCTGCTGTAAGCTGCATCATTGTGACCTCAGGTTAACACACTTAGGATTTTTACCCAAGAACGGTTGCATAATCAGCGAGGACATTTCCACCCACACCCAAATCAATTATGAAAGAGGTAATGTTGATTTCATTGACCTGGAAAGTAAGCCCTCCCAGTTATGCACCTAAATTTCAACACACATGTGCTCAGTGATGCGTGACCATAAAATCATGAATGGGGTATCATCAGAAAGTAAATGTTCTTTACTTTTAGAAAATACCAAGTTTTTTGCTAGAAAGTGCATAGCTTGGCCATGGTAACCATTTAAAGTTGGGTTTCCTTTTTGATACACCCTGTGCAGCACATTTTGTGTGAGCCCCCTCATGTTTGTTGCAGCAGTGATGTGCTATAACATTAAACACCTCCTGCTCCAACAAGCAGGGCGAATTCATCAGACAGGTTTATTTCAGCCACTTATTGATGACTGCTGTACCGTCGGGCGACTGTCGAAAAATGATTCATTGCCTAAAATTTATGTTGCTATGAAACAGTTAGTTGGTTTATTTTATACTGACTAACATTAGAATTAATCACTTTACCACAGTTAGAGTTCATTTTCACCTTGAAAATGTCTGTGCATCCCTCTCTGAGAAACTTCAACCTGATAATGCTCATCGCCAAGTGTGTCACATGATGAACTCACCTGTTTCAGCCTGACAGTGAGGTGTAGGATCCTGCGGTTACTGTTGTTTTCCACTGTGCCTGAGACATACATGGTCTCCCCTGGCACGTAGCCGGCCTTATCAGTGGAGGCTTTGGTGATTATGGGACCAGTCTCACAGCACAGGCAACAGACGCTCTTGGTGTCTTCCCTGCGTACAGGGTGCTAAATGCAACCAGCCAAAAGGAAAAAACCTGAACTACAGAACTCAAGCAGTTTAGGAGTGAAACTACAAATAGTAAACCTCGTTTAATTCAGTGAGTTTTGAGGATTTTGCAGTGTGGACAATGGAATATTGGTGAGCTCTTGGAGATGCTTTGTAGGAAATGTCTTTCTTGTGAGTTTGTGGTTTCTGAAACTCTCCTGGTGATGGACAGAACATTCTGCTTGAACACAGAGTCCACTGATTCTTTTCAGAGCCTCAGCTGTCTTTTGGACACCCAGCTGGCAATATTGGACACCTTGTTTTGCAACATAAAATGCATGTAAGTGTATAAATAAAGCCTTATTCCCGGGGGATTGTCAAGATTTTCCGTTTTCAAAATTCTTAAAAAATCATAACTTCATGTACTGGACGTTTACCGGAAACACTAGCATTAAGTGGTTACAAACATGCATCCTGTACCATGGCATTTGGCATGGCTCTGAGATCGATCGGCTGCCCTGTGACAGTGAACAACCTCTCCGTGTGATGGTCAAACTTCGAGGGCCGATCGATCTTGCACTTCACTTTGTAGCGGATCCAGCCCAAGCTCGACTCGAACGGGAACGGCAGGGGAATATCAGGGATCTTGAAGGAGAATGGGAAGCGATGCTCTCCGGCCTCCAAGCAACGCCTGGTCTTGTCATCTGCAAGAAACAGGCGGGAGAGTGTAAAATTTGGGTGTACCTGTGCTTGGGTGCATCTCAGTCTTACTGAACCTCTAGCCCTCATAGATCCTACAAAATCCACCTCATGGTTTGGGTAGACTTTGCAGGATTGGGGAAGTAAAGACCGCAACCGGCCATGGTTGCTTTTCATGGGCTCCAGAGTTTCTTGAATGTTAAGTACAAAAAAAACGTGTCACTGGTGACTTTGACAGATTTAGGAGGGTCCTTGCATCACTACTTACGTGAATGATTTTGAGAGGAAATTTTCAAGTACTATCCATTAGTTCACTGCCAACGGAGGCTTGAATTTGTGTACTCTCTAATGAACGTACAACATGCATGATGGGGGAAAACGACACTTTGTGAAAGTACTCTGTGTTGCACAGGGCTGTACAATGTACTGTTCACACCACTGGTATACTTTTCTCTGATTCAGTTCTTGGATCAGGTATGAGCCCCGAGCTGGACCAAGAGAGGGCGCAATTTTCCTAGCAATGGAGGCTCCCTTGGTGGGACCGGCAGTTTGCTGGTTCACAAATAACTATGAAATGAACGCATTATGATCACGTCGCTCTCAGCAAAATGAACGCTCCTGGCCAACGGGGCTCTTTTCAACCGATGAGGAGGTGCTTCTGCTCAAGGCAGACAGAGCATGTGAAAACATAGACTTTGATAAGAGCCTGGAAGAGCCCCCCTAAATTCATGCCAATTTAAGGTCCTTTATGGCAATGTACCTCAGCCGTATGAACAGAAGACAGATGTACATGTATTCACCACTTGCTGATGGTATCACAAGTATTTCAGGCTGAAAATTTGATTTGGAAACAGGCCAGATATAGCTGCCGACTTTTGACTTACAGCCAAATGCCTGGAATACTTATTTGGAAGAGTCATTTGAACAGTCTTTATGTGACATTTGTATATTTTTTTCATATTTGTCAACACAGCATGCACAACGTGCACAGCTGTGAGGATGAAGTTCAACACTCATCCCGCCTCCACAGGCTTCTCAGATTTGTTTATGTATAAAACAAATAGGGCATTAGCATATGTTCATATGTCATCCACAGGTGTGTTGAGTCAAACCTGACATTTTAATTGCTTAGGGGTACCTGTGTACATACAAAAATCTAAAACATATCCTCTGGTGGCAGAAACTGGTTAAATGATTGTGGACTATGAATTTTTCTCTTCCTTTTTGGTACAACTTTAAACTTGTCAATGTATTAAACCTTTTTGACCTACCGTACTTTAGGAGTATGTCAGAGTGTTGGGAAGAGAAAAGTTTTTAAAACATTTACAAGGGTTTGTGCTTTTCTGAACAGAGGGTGCTGTTCTTGTGATGTAATTCAGGGGAGACAGTGACTGCGAACACAAACTTTGCTCAACAAAAACATTTCTCAGCAAGGGTTGCTCATTGGCTTAGTGCCACGTATTTACGTAGCAATGAATCAAAAGGAAACTACAACAGCAAAATATGGAAAATCCAGTCACCGATGTAACACTAGCACTGAGCTTTTCCCCAGGAATGACATCACAGCTTTGCTCATGAATATGGAAATGCTTTTAGCATAAAAACAAGAGGCACTAACATTCCTTTTTGAAATGGCACAGCAGAAGTTGGAAATCTGATTGAAACAGGAAAGTGCATTTTAAAAGGTCTTAGTAAAAAACACTACACTAAACAGACAGTTTACAAAATGACAGTTTTTTTCTAAAGCCTATACCTTTGCCCCAACAGACGATTTTCTCCTTGAAGTATGTCTCACTGGCTGAGTAACTCTCTTCTTCGTCCTCCGACCCCTCGGTCCAGTGAGTGTGAGCCTTGCCCTTGAACTTGAGTTTAATAGCTGTGAACGTAGAAGAGTGTAGAAATAAGACACTAAGGGTCGTCTCTCACTGCTGCCACTTGGGGGGGGGGTGAAAATGGATGTTTTTCAACTGCCCTGGTGTGGCATATGTATGGAGCGTCGAAAGTGGACAACCTCATTTTCTGTTAGTACATTTTCAGGATTTTGGACTTTGCCTAAAGCATTTTCAAAAAACGCAATTTTCCGCTAGGAGAAATTTAGATTTTACTTTAACAACTCTTCATGGCGCGTCAAAAGTGGACCACTAAAATTTTCAAATTTCCACTAGCAAATTCTATTTGATGCTCCCAAAGAGGACAACCCCATTTTCTCCTTTTCGCAGAGGTTTGTTAGAGGTTTTTTAACTTGTCCACTTTTGGACCACCCCGCCATCGGCAAAGTAAAATCCAAATTTCTCTTAGTGGAAAATTGCGATTTTTGAAAATACTTAAGGCAAAGTCCAAAATCCCGAAAATCTACTAACAGAAAATGAGAAAATGGGGTAGTTCACTTTTGACGCTCCATACATGTGTCCAAATGTCAACCAAATATCAACAAAAGGTCCATAGCATACAGGCGTCACCCAGTACCGTGGCCATGTGTTTTTTTTGCCAATTGTTTTGAACAAAGGGGTTGCTAGTTGCGATTTTATAACCTTATCTCTTTTGTAAAGTCCAGAACATACATGTATGTTAATTTAATACAAAACTGCAGCAAACTGCTTGCTGACTGGTGAGCTCAAATATAAATAAAAATATGGAGAGCCTGATGTTTCAATTCAAGAGAAATCTTTCTCAAAGGCAAAGAAAAAAAAACAAAAAAAAAAAACAAAAAACGGCTAGGGTCGAAACACCAGGCCCTCTTTTGCTTCTTAGCAAATCGCTTTACCCAAACAAAGGTCTTAATCCCTTAGCTCTTTTGGGCTCAAGAATTCAATTCGCATTCCTCCCCGGAAAAATTATCTCCATTGTAATGGAGACCAATGCTCGCAAGTTCCCAGCTGTTCCAGCTAGGATGGGCACTAGTTAAGCTGGGGGACTGTTGGCTTGAGTAAACGCTAGAATTCCAGAATGAACCGGTAGTTTTGGGGGGTTGTTTCAAAATCCTTAGTTTCCCTGATTGTTATTTGTGTTGTCTAGGGTCATACTTTTATCGCCAATTTTTTTCTGCTTAATAGCTTTCAGCCATTTTTTTAAGTGGGAAAAAAGTCCGAATTAAATGTCAACAGGGAAATTTAATAGACGGCTAGCACAGAGTACACGTACACGTACGTGGAATAGTGACTCTGTAAGTCCAGTCTCTCAGATATGAACTATTGACAGTACAGTACTTAGTACATGTACATAGTACTACTACACCCCTAGTTCCCCACACCTAGTACCTGTAACATCATCCTTCGGTGCTGTCAGAACAACTCTGATGTAGCCATTTACGACTTCTCCAGAGCTGAAGACATCCACATTGTCTCCGTCGAACACCACCTCAAATACAGTCAATTTGCCCATATTAAGATAATGGTGGTGACTTCCGGTCTGCTTGTTATTTGTAGATAGATAGGCCTACCCGGTAGTACTCCTGTTCACTGGCACTATCGCCTACTGTTCTAGTTCTGCTGCATGTGCTACCTTTCCTGAGCTACGTCTTCGTCTTGTCCACTGACCTGGGGCCAAACGTGTATTGTTTCGGCTGCTTCCCGGGCGGCTGCATTTAAATTTGTTGTGTAGAACCACGGAGCTACATGATGATGTACCAAAAGCATGAAGACTCGATCCGGATCCCACCGCAGATCACACCACAGTAGCCAAGGCTGTTTCGAACACACCCTAGGCCTCCGATCCCTCATGTGCGAAGCTCCACGGACGGTTCAAGACCACGGCTGCGTCTACTGTCAGCTATTGTGTGCTGCGGTTTTTGCAGCCGGCGAAGACCTAGACGCAAGGAGACACACAATTTTTCTGAGCTATGGCTGCGTGTACATTCAGCGGTGCCTAGCTCGTGCAAGGACCTGCGTCCACATGTACAGTGCCTGCATGATGGAGATATACTGTGTATGTACGCCTACATGTACATTGTAAAGTAGGCCTACACGTCTGCTTTTAAAACCACTTCCTGCCGGGGCAGTTATCAGTGTTGCTAATGCCGGGCCGGGATATTTATCATTGTTTTCTGTTTTCAAAATTCTTT